GAAAGGTTTGGTCAACCTAGGATAAATGCAGAGGCCACACTTAACACTTTTCTTACCACTAATAGTGCTCCTTTCAACATTAATTTTCCTCCCCCAAATACAAATATAGGATTAAGAAGTTAATAAAATCTTTGCTTAGAGAACTGTAACTTGAGTACTAGACAACCCAATTAAATTTTAAGTTAATTCTCTAGACAACTTTTTCTTGTGACTCTCACTCTCTCTTCGATTCCCTGACCGTACTTTGACATGATATATCTGGTGAATGAATAAATCTTGTTCTAGGATATGAATGTATAAAAGCAATATGACGTTACGATTGTTAATGTTGAGAATATGCGGATTGCAACTAGGATTTGAATATTGAAGTCAATTACAATTTTTTTTTATTCAGCTGACACTAAACTAGAAATGGAAACAAAAATCTACTTTTTTTCCCCCTTCTACATTGTAAATTACGAATGGCTACATGCAAAAGATTGATTCAGTATTGGGTTTATCCTCCTTTCATATATCATTTGCATCTATGATACAGGATTTTGAGTAGGTAAGACTCTTACTTTTTTATTCATTCACAATTGATTTTATGTCTAGGGGGTCCATTGGCTTCCAAATAAGAAAATCCAAACTATTAATTGATTAACTTCTTTCTTTTTCATTTCTTGCTTCTTGGAAGCATGGCGGAAACTATCTTTCATAATAATCAGTGTTTAAAAAAATCTATTTCACACTTTAACTGTCAATTCTTTTTCTCTTTATTTTGTCAATAAAACTAGTTATCGATCTATGGAAAGCTTAGAGAACAAAAATGAAACTTGGGAGCTAAGTGTAATTTCAAATGACAAAAGAGAGCGTGTTAGTAGCTTAATAAACCCCAAAAGAAGTAAATATTCGACACGGCTTATATAGATAGAGTTTTTTTTGCCAAAAATAACACTCTTTCTAAAAAAATATTCCCAATGTGATTCACTTCTAAATTTTATTCCCAAATCGATGTTATTGTTGCTACCTAATTACCTTGATTGCCATGTAGGATAACAAGAAAGGAAAGCTTTAATCTAGTTTATAGTTTCCAATAAAAACTAAAAATTTAAACTGTTATATTATAGAGGCACGAGAAAATTGCATAACTTTGATAATTTCCTTATAATTATTTAAAATAAATTTTACCATTGTTGACCTTGCTATTATTGCTCTCTGCAATTTTCTTAAATGTATCAAACTTATTGCATATATTTTTTCAAAAATAAATTTGCAAAATACAAAAATTGCAATGAACATTATAAGCAATAACAATAAAAAGTTAAAAAACTTCAAGGCTATCATATTTGTTTATGTTATGCTTCCTACTCCTTGAAAAGAACTTTTACAAAAAGTAATCAAACTATTGCAATTAAGATAATGCTAAAGTTTCTCAAAAAGTAACACAAGCCATTAATTAATGTTGAATAAATGTGCAAAAATACTTCAAATATACGAGATTATTTGATTATGTGATAAAGAGACACTAAAAATGAACATGCTTATATTGAGCATGAATTTATGTTGTTTCGTAGTTTTCCTCTTAGACATTTTATCAAACACACGGTGTGAGAAATCATTTGTTAAAGCAATTAGTATTCAAAATTTTTTGAAGGCCATAGGAATGTTCCAAAAATTACACAACAGAAAAGACAAGAGAATAATCTTCATTTACCTTAAAATTATCAATTCGAGGAGAATATTTTCATCTACAGATACAATATCAGGAATGATAATGAAGTTTTAGATGTTGTTAATATAAATATTGGCTTTTAACAATTACATTTGACAAGGAAAAATAACGAAAGGACAAAAAATAATAAAGAAAAAAAAAGTGGGAAGGTTCAGAGAGAGAATCAGGGAAGATATTAGTTGGAAAAGAGATCGAGATAGAATGTGCCTCTATCTCTATCCTACCACATATGCAACCTATGTGGAAAAAAAAGAATTATAAAGGTAATAAATTTTAAAATTAAGTTACTTTGGATATATGTTTCAAAAGAAGAATTATTTTGGCAATAAACTCTATATAGATATGTGTGCTAATACTTACATTATTTGATAACCTATAATTTATGTATTTCCTCCCCCCCCCCCCCCCGGCCCCGCCCCGCAGGTGAAGTAGCTAAAGGGGAAAAGTGATGTTGAAGTAGAATGTAGAAACTTTCTTTGATCATGAAGAGAGATGGTACATAATTTTTTTGTCCAATATATGGATTTTTTGCCCTTTCCTTTAAAGCTTCAATTGATTTTCTCCTACGAGTAAGTTGAGATTGGGCTAGGAACTTTGGATAGTGTTCTCCTCGTTACATTAACATACGAAATGTTTAAGCTCGTTTGATGACTTGCGAATTTACTGCCACCATTTCTGGGAAACCCATTATGCTCGGCAAAGAAGAGATTAAAATAATCATCAGCGGGATGACTTTCTGAATTGTCGTTTTGCGACTTCAAAGAACAAAATCATTCTTGACTTTATATTATTCTAGTTGGGCAGGTAGCCTAGCACTTCTTGCATACGAATGAAATTAAAATATACAAGGAAAAAGTGGGAAAAATGATGTGCAAACCACTAGGGCCTGGGTCAGAAGAACACTGATAGTATAACTGATAGTGAGCAAGAACACTGCATTCTGCAGCATCTCTAGCAAGTCATTGAGGGCCACTCAACAATCATTTCTTTAATCAAAGGCCAATGAGAAAGCCCACTGCAGCAGAACAGACCTAAAGTTGAGGGCGCACCATGAAAAGAAGTTGATGACATTAATCATTTTCCGGAGATTCATGGTATCTTAGGTTGCCAACCCTGCATGCTTGCAGTTGATCAGCTTTCAACCCTGTGAATAAATTTTTTAAACAATTATTTTCGGGTGACTTTAATTAAATAAATGGACGAAGTCATTTAAAATTTATTAACCGTTTACTTCTGTGGATGTAAAAAACTTGGCCAATTTTGGGACATTAAACTAATGCACAATTTCACTTGTTTTGCACCTGGTTTTTGAAATTTTTACTAGAGAAGGAGAAAGGGAAGTCTGTCAGCTACTAATATGCTTACCAGCTTCTTGATACAAGAGCATAATTTGTCATTCATTAGTAGATCGAAACATACAGTTTTGGTTCTCAATATTTGGTCCATCGATCATTAATATTTCGATCAAACAAGTTTAGTTTCCGAAATTTTCGCTTTTATGCCAATTCAGAATGTATAGCTGACAGAAATTTAACCATTCTAATAGTCAAAATCAATTTGCCGTTGGATTAATCTACTACTCATACATATAATTTCTCATAACTAGTGATGTGTACGGAATTTGGGACTTCTAATTTCTGACTTCATACAAATTTGGGATAGTTGACCCAATTTTAACAATTCTATTGGCCGAAATCAATTTGTCCTAGTTTAATCTAGTACTAATGTGTATGATTTCTTGTAACCCACCAAGCCAGATTTCAACTTTTCTAACCAGCTATGCCATGCGGTTTGATCATTCTGATACTATATATGCATGTATTTGATGTTCTAATCTGCACAGAAATTAGGGCAAGTGAGAAGCTGACACGATGTTGTGAGAAATTAGGGCAAGTGTCAGGACTTACGAATATAATTTATACTTCTGAAGATGATGGAAGAAAGATTGGCGAAAAACTGGAACTTGCCCTGCTAAGATTCACAGTATAACATGCATGCGATTAATCATTTTTTAGCCTAATAATGAGCTATAATTAAGCCTGGAACTTCTGTAAGAACTGAACTGCATGAAGGACTCACTACGCATGGATAATTCAGATGGATTAGTGGATACATAGCTCTTTAAATGCATTACAGGAGATCGAATCGACACAACAATGATTCTCCACAGATATGTATATGTGTCTTTTATGCTCAAACAATCGGCTTAAAGCCAGTAATTCGTACAGTTATGCACAGCATTCAAATTAATCGATTTGCAAATTCTTAAACCTTCACACCATGATTTAGTTTTAGCAATCCAAACGATCAAGAACCGTCAGAAGAAGTATTAATTGTGTTGTAGGAACCGTATTTGTATATAAGAGCTGTGGATGAACATGCATATTTGGTATGAAGAAGCCGCTGATCAAGATTCATTGATCACTTTTTCCACTTCAGCATCATGCCTTTCACTTAAATTAGCGTACAATCACGATTTGTCCAGGTTCAACTGAGTTGTATAACCAAAATACATGGCAGAGAGGAAGAATTATAGACTGATAGTTCTCTACAAATTATGGGTTGGAGGTGGAGGAGCTCAGTTAGTGAAGGATGCAGAAGAGATTGAAAAAGGTCTTTTTGCACAACAATATTAGTACATGATGAACAACAACAACTAACCACCACTTCAGATTAAGGGGATTGGGAGTAGGTGGATAAGTTCAATGATGGATGAAGAACGTAGGACATAAGTCATAGGAAGAAGCCCTAGTTTATATTTACAGGTGGAAGAGGGGAAATGGATTGAGAAATGACAGGACCATGATCATTACAAAGGTGAGAAATAAAAGATATTCATCATGCATCCCAATCTTCCGCTGCTTTTAGAAAACCACGGGACGAAGCATTATCATTTATCAAGTAACTGAAAATTTATATACTTGAATAAGCAAAAGAAACTCCATACGTTTTTTTTTTTTTTTTGCTCACTTTGTTTCTCTTTCAACTTTTCGAGTAAATTAAACAAACACCTGTTAATATGAACAGCCAAGAAACCAGAAAAAGATGAACATCCTAAAGCAAGATAACTGAGAACGTGGTGCATAGAACTATGCAGTCTTGTGAATATTTTACTTGAAGGAGCATTGGAGTCTTCACTTCACTCTATCCTTTCAAGCCTAGACAAAGTAAATAATATGGACTCACCTAAAAGTTTGTGTGTTTAGGGCCAAAAGATAGAGAAAACAGAAGAGATAATTTGCTCGCAGCATAAATTCAGCTTAACTCCATTATTATTAATCAAGAAGACTAAGAAGACGAAAAATCAGCTCTAAAATTAAAGCAGGATTAAGAAGACTAGACCTAATGAATTACAAAGTGGAGTTGAAGCAAACTCGAGGAAATATACATGTACATATAAACCTTTATAATCTTAAGTCTTTTTTATGTCTCTTCATTCTACAATACATCACAAGTGAAGAAACTTAATTCTATCCCTCTCCCTTCAAACTTTATGAAGCTGCTAGTATTATTTATTCATTTACCTCAATTAGTAAGGAGGGCGGCCATGAGCCCAAGCAAATGCTTCATGGTTCAGCTGTCCACCATTAGGCATCAGGTTTGGTGGCAAACTATACACAGGCATAGAGGACGGATCACCCAAACCACCTTGCTGCGGCGCCCCACCACTCCCCAACGGCGGTGATCCGTTCCCACCAAGTTGTCCCTGAGCTGCACCACCGCCTTCTTCATCTTCCTCAATAGGCAGCCTCTCATAAGTAGCATTCGAAAATGTTGAAGCAATCACCATCACTGGTCCTGAGGCCACTAGTGATCCAACCACACTTCCCCCAACCACTTGGCCTTGGCCTCCAGCTAGGTATATAGTTAGTCCGGTAGCCCCGGGAGGGGCTGGACCGGGGAGGAAAGCTCCGGTGAGAGAGAGAATCTCAAAGCGGCCATGTAAAGCCATGACTGCACCAGGTGCGGAAGGTTGCCTAAGGGTTACGTTAGTAACTGTTCCACTAGCACTCAGTACACAAACTCCCCTTTGCCTTCTCCTGGCAAACTGGGCTATGCTTTCAGCTATGTCAGAACCATTTGCAACCTCCATGACATGGCTTCTGAGAGCATTAGGGCTATCTCTAGTGACAAAGATAGGCGGTTTTGGCTTATTCTTGGAACCAGGAGGTCTTCCTCTAGGCCTCCGAGTAGCTACCTCAACTGCACCCTCTTTAGGCTCATCAGTGCTGTTTTCTCTTTCGTCTTCATCATCTCTTCCACCACTGCCGCCACCGCTTCCGCTGTTGTCGTTCATTGATATGCCCAGATCTGGCTTCTTCAACACTGGTGAGCCAGTTGATGAAGATGTTTCAACACCAGGTAAACCAACCTGGCCGGTCCACCACCTATTTGCCATGATCTTCACCTCAAACTTGTTCAACTAGATTGCAAGCTAATGAGATCGCTTCTTAAGATACTTTCCGCAACTAGCTGAGATCTTAGCTGTGGTCTCTTGATTTTGACTTTCTTTACAAGATAAGGTTCCAAGAAGAAAATTGAGATAAGGGTTTTTATAGAGCTGAATGACAAAAAAAGATTGATCGATGAACCCAACAAGGCAACAAGGATCTAGATTAGAGACACGAGGACATACGCACACTATCGCACATACAAAGGAGGGAGATGATGAGAGATTATCAGATAAGCTTAGCTAGCTTAGCTTGAAGCCTTGAAGGGGGAGGTTTCTTTCTCCTTTTAACATTTGTTTTTCCGTTTTCTTTTCTCTCCCTGTTGGGATTTCTAAGATGTCGTTTCTTAGGTTTTTGGTGGTGGGGTGTGTGTGATTTTGCGTCAAAGTTCTTGGATGTGTGTCTTTTTCATCGTCTCTTGCACACACACATTCACACACTCACTCTCTCTCTCTCACATAAAATTTCTCATTTTCTTACCTTCACTCCCTCTCAGATGAGTCTTGAGAAATGGGAGTAGGGTCTTGGAAATTAGGGTTTGTGCGTGGGGTCGCGTGCTGTGTGACGAAGTGGGATGCACGTTTGGGGGAGCATATGCCAATTTGCAATGCTGATTAGAGGTGGTAATTAGAGACTGGTATACCTTAATTAATTACCTCAAGAGATTAGTTACAATTTGAAGAATATTTTTAGTCATTCCTTTTAGGCGAAAAACGTAATGTCAGGCAGGCTAACTAGCAAATTTAATAATTAATCTTCCATCAATAGGATACTGCTAATTGAAGAAATAAGGACTTTACAATCTTATTTGAATTGTATTTAATGTGAAAATAGTAAACTACACTTATCAAATAATTTGTCCGAACCAAAAGTTTCCCTTAATTTTGGACTCATCAAACTTCTTTACATAGCGTTTGAAGTCCAAATATTAAATATTTTTCAATTCATGCAAGCAAATATATTGTGCACAAGGAGTTAAAAAGGAGAAAAAGAACTAGAACCACAATTAGAATATTGAATATTTTAAGCGGTTATTTGAATATTCCCATGAAAATGAAAGTACAAAGAAATTTACAACAAAAAATACAAAAAGAAAATCTAACTATGAAAGACTAACAAACACTAAAATATCCAGTAACTTTGATAATATCATTCAATATACCTCACGAGGCGTTGTCTTGGTAAATTAGCGAGAAAGAGCATATAAGCGCCCAAAAGAGCTTAATATGGCCATTACATATTGATAGCTGCAAAAATCAATGGTTGATTTAGACCTATTAGGAGATTTAAAAAAAAAAAAAAGATTACAAGAAGTCCACCATAGTGGGGGTAATATAATTAACAAATAAACAGTAAGAATTACAACTATTGCAATTCAATTATTCTATTAATTACCAAATTCACAAAGAGCGAGAAAACAAACTCACATGTAGTAAGTAAGACTTAAATTTATAACTTCTAAATCCTACAACCTCAATTTTGACCACTAAATCAAGGTCTCGTCTGCTATATATTAGAGTATGTTTATTACTATATTATTCTAGCATTTTGAAACTTTCAAGCTCCTGTTATTAGACTCCATGACTACGAGTTGCATCCATATAATTAAGCATCTCCAAGTTGTTTATCCAAACTTTCTTAGCTTGTCTCATCATCTGGACTCTTTCAAATGTTCTGTCCGAAGGTATTACTTCTTCTAAAGGTTGGTATAAGATTATTCTATCACATAAAATAAAAGCTTAAAAGCATTTAAAACTACTAAGGCGTATTAAATTGGTTCTCTTAAAGGACATGAGAGATCCATGTTCTCTCATGTTCCCTTTATTTTTTGTTGTCTTTCCAAAAAAGATATGGTCTTCCTTCATTTTTACTACACACTATAGCCTTCACAATTTGTTCTATGAAAACAAAAAAGCAGGATGCAATAAACATGTTGCAGGTGTGTTTAATACGATCGATTGAATCAACTCTATCGGATAGAGAGATTAAAGCTTTTTAAAACCGAAGGTAATCCCATGTTGTGACCATTCAGTCAGCTAACTAAGACCTCAAAATAAATCAAAGTGCATGTCTTTATCCCATTAGTACACTTGGATTCTATTAAACAACTCTTGTTCTTCTTCCTGATCAACGTTCTCGTTTTCCAAGAACATCACACTCGCATGCACGATGAATGGCACATCTTTTCTAAACTACTGCACATTATTGTACATTTGGATGCCATGGTAGTAAATCTTTGTACATTTGGCAATCTGAAATGGCCTCTGAGGGCACAAGATCAATAGTCCATACATAAAGTAGTTTACAAAGGCATCTTTGGAAAAAAAAAAATGGCTAGCAGGTTATTTTGGCATGGTTTAAAAAGTTTGGGACACTCCATCCTCCCTTTTAAAGGGATGAGGTGCTTGAAATCTCTGAAACTACCTTAATTACCACTTGCCTTATTTGAGCTACCAGGGATATCTAATAAAAGACTCACAATAAACTCTTCAATATAATAATATATACTCTCTCTCATTTATTAGGGTTGGTCCAATGTTCAGTAAAAGGCTCTTGTAGTCTTTTTCGCTGTCTAAATTCATGATTCAAATTTTGTTCGTGAGGTTGAAAAAAGTATAGAAAAAGATGAATAGGGTAATAAAAAAGAATTAAAGAACACACTTTAGACAAACTCATTACTAAACGTTAACATAATATTTTACCTAGCAAATTAGACGAGCAGACCCTTTGTCCTTTTCCTTGTTTTGTTTTCTCAAAGGAAATTAACTCGCATTAATTGAGCTGTAAGAGGGCTATCGTCACTGGACATAATGGTGCAAGTGTAGGCCTGGGATCCCATTTTGTCCTCCCATGTTTACAAAATTTCAGAGGTCTTTTTTTTTTTTTTTTTTTTTGTCAACTTCAAGAAACCTGACTATTGACTTTACAAACCTAAATCCTCAGTACACCTCAAAAGCCATGGTAACTAGTGAGGGTACTGAGGAGACTTATAAACCCAACACCCAAACCCCCCCCCCAAGCGATGTGGGATAGAAACCCCACAGGGTGCCCCGCTGCTAAGACCTAACTAGACCCCAAGCTCCCCGTAACGGAGTTTCTGTCTTTTTTGTCAACTTCAAGAAACCTGACTATTGACTTTACAAACCTAAGTCCACAGTACACCTCAAAAGCCATGGTAACTAGTGAGGGTACTGAGGAGACTTATAAACCCAACACCCAAACCCCCCCCAAGCGATGTGGGATAGAAACCCCACAGGGTGCCCCGCTGCTAAGACCTAACTAGACCCCAAGCCCCCCGTAATGGAGTTTCTGTCTTTTTTGTCAACTTCAAGAAACCTGACTATTGACTTTACAAACCTAAGTCCACAGTACACCTCAAAAGCCATGGTAACTAGTGAGGGTACTGAGAAGACTTATAAACCCAACACCCAAACCCCCCCAAGCGATGTGGGATAGAAACCCCACATGGTACAAAATTTCAGAGGTCAATTATTGTAGATCTTTATTAATTTTAACGGTGTCCATAAAGTCCATCTGGTTTGTCTTATGAATTGGTTGCGTCACATCGATTTTGATTGAATCGTTAGCTTAATGAATAATCTATTGCTGAAAAACCCTTTTGTATTAGAAAACACGAAGAATCATAATAGAAAAAGAAAGAATGATAGTCGTAGAAGCAACTGTTGATGGTATGGATGAACAGACCGCTGGTCATGTCACGAACATTTCCCATCATCAGCTGGATAATTTCTTTTAGCTAACCACAATCAAACAAATAAAATTGTCTCTCACACCTCGTTCATCTATATAGTCTTCAATTGAGATGAAAATCTTGCTTATTATTACTGGAACGCAAAGGGCCTGGAATACCCTTGAGGGATTTAACTTCCATGGCAGAACAGATGGACTTATTTTCAAATTGGCTCCGAACTGAATAAATGCAGACTTTTCTTCCAGCAGCTAAGCATCGGACGTCTCAAATCACGTCAGCAGCTTTCCTCAGGATCAAAATATTTCCTAGGTCCAGTTGGTCAAATGAATGAATCACTTGTACATGCGTCTCCGTTATCAGATTCCATCGACCTATACATTTTTCAACGCAGAAGGACATTAGAGAAGGAAGTTTGATTTCTATATAACACTTGTCTTCTTAGTCGATTATATATAGCATTAGAAGCCTTCAAGTCAATAATGTTTATTTTACTTTTTATTTTTTGGGGTTTTTTATGAGGATGCAGTTTGGCTTTGGCATGTACTGTACTGATCATGTGGAGCAGGATGTGTAAAAAAGCTTAATTGAAGTACTAAGATCTAGGAGGAGCCAAAAATAAAATAAAAATGTCGAATGGTTCGTCATTGTATTAACGATTCGGCTAACAGGTGCCTAATTGTTAATAGGGATTTTAGATATTCATTTTTTAAAACATGTAATTAATTTTTAACTAAAAAGTTAAATGCAAAGAGCATAATAATTGTGATTGGATATATTCACATCGAGTGCCCATGTATTAGAAAAATTCCTTTTAACACAAAAAAAAAAGGAAAAATCGTCTTATCTCTTTTTAGTTATGGATAAGAGAACAATTCATCCAATAGATTCAAGTAGAATTGTACTCGATCTTATAAAATTCATCTTCTACTTTCTGCTTGTTGTAAGTAAAGTGATTCAGCTGCTAAATACGAGAGATTGGTGTAAATGGGAGGATTACAGAATAATTCTTCTTAATAACTTATTCTAACGTTTGAGAATATATAGGAATTATTGAAGTGGCTCATATCAAGCAAACGAAGATGAACTTTGTCGTTTCTGCATCTTCTGCTTTCCTTGATAAACAAAAAGAATGATGCGCATGTAAAATAAGCATAAGTATAATGGTCCAATGGAGAACAAAGTAATGATTCTTTTGCTAATTTTCAGATTGCATTACAAAGTAATGATTCTGTATGCTGCCTTAGGGATATTTTAGTGGTGTTACTTTATTGATTGATTGGCTCGGAATCTGCAACCAGAAAATTAAAGATTTCATTGAAATCTTTGAAAATGTGAAATCCCAACTAGTGTAATAGTAGAATATCCAATTACTCTCCAATTCACAACCTAGACACTTGGTTGATAAAATTTTCTGTAGAAAGTACCCAATAACACAGGTAGGGGATAAATATCTATATAAAAAAAGATTAGGTGGTTTGATCAAATGAGTTTCCCAAGAGTAAAATAAAATAAAAGAGTTTTTTTTTTTTTGTATTTGATACTCTATGGTAAAATATAGGCATTAAAAAAAAAAAAGAATTTGGGCTTACTATTAGAGTTTCAACATTACCATAAACCTTGAATTGCAACGCCAAAAAATAATAATAATAATAACCTGCTCATTTCTTATTGTATGACCTTAGAGTACCAAATAAGTAGACGAACGCCAAATAATTCTTTTTTTTTTTTGAGGGAAACACTAAATAATTCTTGACTTCATAATGGAACTTTGAATATATCAAAATTGTCAAAAAATTTCAGGGGTTAAGAGACAAAACTCCGATAACGCCGCTTACACAAATAGGAAGCCCAATATGTCCGCGAGACCTCCTGCCACAGAAAAAGCCCAAGAGGTGTCAAAAGTCCAAATCCAACTCAAATCAGCTACATACGCTTGCGACTCCGCGTAAGGCCGACACCCTCTTCCCTCACCGCCCAGAATCCTGCCGGCCACAACCCCATATTGGTTGCTGAAGCCAATAGCAGAAGAGAGAGGGAAACGAAGGAATAGAGCTATGGGTGGTGATCTTTTTCAAGATTTGCCACCGCCATCTGCATCACAGACACAGCTTCAAGAATTGCAATCTTCAACAACAGTTAAAGAGCATTCATCAAACCCACCACTAGCACCACCGCCTCCAGCACTCAAGAGCGCTCTCAAACGTCCAAAACCGCCATCTTCTGGAGAAGAATCTAAACCTCAAGGTACCACTTCATATTTCCTTGTTCAATTAATAAAGGTTGAGTATTTATTCCTTCTTTAAGGTCTACAGTTATCGAATTATTTGGGCATTTTTTTAGTGTTTCAGCTAAGTGTCTGGTTGGATAAGTGTTGAAGCTTGATGGGTTCTTGCTTTTTTGCATTTTTTTTTGGTGGAAAGTTGATTTTTGATTTCTGGACTTCTATTTTAGGGTTTCTGATGATCCTGCGGTAATGAGATTCTGTTGGTCAAGGTGATTTTTAATGCTTTGTCTTAAATATTCGGTGAATTTCTACGCCTCGTGGTTTATTTTGGTTTAGATATCTTGTTGCAAGAGTATATAGTTGCTCTCTAGAGTCTCACTGTGTCTAATCTACATTTGGTTGAAATCCTGATGGCTTTGTGTTGGTGAACCACTATTCCATCTTTTTAGACTGGCTTCTGTTGGGAACGTGTACTATGTGCTACTTGGAACATCAACTTTTGCATTATGATATAACCCAAATCAAATTGTTCTTGTTCATAACCTCCTTTTGAATTTTGTTGTGACGTTAACAGCTAGAACTGGAATTGACGTTGATACTTTAGTTATTATAATTATTTATCTTAGCCACGAATTACTTCTATGAGATGTCACTGGGGTAGTGAATATATTTTTTTGCTCTTTCTGATTTCCAGTTTCAGCTTCAGCACCGGCTCCAGGTCCCGGAAAACGATTGAGATTTAAAACGACAACGGATGCTTCAGAGACACAAGTGATAGAGGCCATGCAGAAAATAGCTTCCCACATAAAGAATTCTTCAAAATTTAGCAAGGCTTCAAAGCTTGCTGTACAGTTAATTCAGGCTGGTAGTGTTAACCCTGCAACTAGTGATCACTTTTTTGCCATACTTGAAGGTGCAATGTCATCACCCACCACTTGCAATGAGGCCTCACTAAGGGCAGACTATCGTGCTTTGTTCTCTGCAGCTCAAGATGCAGTTGAGGTGATTCATGTTCTTTAAAGTTTCTTTAACTCGCTCTTTGATAGGATTGAAAGTCAACTTGTTTTGATTTGCTTTTTTGCAGTGCCTTAACAAGAAGCAGAAAAATCTTCTTACTATATGGACAATAAGGGCTGTCATGGCTAATGATCTGTTCACTGATGATAGCTTTGTGGTATGTTTTTGCATTTTTCAATTTCACTGGCTGTAACATATAATTAGATCAAGCGAAGTGTCTTCTACAAACTAAGTGCTTGTGTATTATTTGTGTCATTCAATTTGCTATGTTATTTTTCAGTCTACGTTATGTGTACGTACTGGTCATTCAGAAATACAAGTGTCTTCATATATCATCTGGAGCTGCAGGAAGCATGATATCATAAAGAAATATGAGTGTCTTCACTACATTTTGGTTGTTTATGGTCCAAATGTCATGTATAGTAGCTATATTTTTGCTTCTATCATGTCGTGGAAGATACTGATAATGTCATGGCTCATGTTCCTGAGAATGTTATACCATGTCTCTGATAATTGTTATCATTCAATAATTTTGATTTTTAGCCTCATCTGATTATTATATTCCTCTTGAGGTGCTAATCAGTTTTCAAAAGCATCTGGGAGGATAAAAGAAGCCATATCAAGTCTTCCTGTTGCAACCAAGGATGATGACGAAGAAGAAGCTGCTTCCTTGAAGGAAACAGAGGTGGGAAAGGCTCAGGGAGAGTCCCATAGGGATAACACTTCCGCCAGTTCTATACCTGAAGCAAAGGCAGAAGAACCTGATCCATTTGGGCTTGACGCTCTGATTCCAAGCACGTCGAAGAAAGATGATACAGCAAAGGGAAAGAGAGAGTTGGTGGCAAAAAATAAAAAGAGCGAAGAGGATGAGGCGAGGAAATTTCTTAGAGGACAGAGAGAAGCATTAATTTCCTGTTTAGAAATTGCTGCACGACGCTACAAAACCCCATGGTCAAGTTCAAGCTACTTTTGTCATATTTCTTTTATTGCATTTAATGTTTGAGCTGCATGCTTTTTTGCTTTTTGGGGAGCATAACAGGCTTTCCCATTGCAGGTGCCAAACGGTTATTGACATCTTAGTGAAGCATGCCTCTGACAATATATCAAGGTTCACCTCCCGGCAAAGGGATGCAATCGACAAACTATGGGCTTCCAATAGGGAGCAGCAAATTCGCAGGAAGCAAGGCAAATCTGTATCTGGAAAACTTGATGTCAATGGTTTTGAGTGGCTGCAGGAAAAGTATGCAAATGAAAAGATAAGCATTCGACACTCTGTTAGCGGAGGTGGTGAACGGCGCTGCGAACAATGGCTTGGTTAAAGAATGTAACCAACAACCAGTGTATCTGGTGGGACCTGGCTCACTGGATGCTGGTACACCTTAAGAAAAAAGAGGCCATATCACATATGTTAGCTCTGCCGATTGATTGCGATGTAACATTTGTCCACTTTTATGGCCCATGGATTGATGGTTGCCATTCATCACTGGTAACAGGAGAAAACTTCGTGTTGACATATAAATTTAATTCCAAGAGTGTAATGGTTTGTTGTCTTTATTTGGTACTGCAAAACGTTTTTTCGTGAGATCTTTTTGTTTGAAATGCATTCTTACTGGTTTACTGGGCCCTTGAGATCTTTTTCCCGGTAATTGATTTTTCCCTGATATATTTCCATATTCATGTCAGCAGCCCCACAACCTTTCAGTTCTGTCGATCACAAGAATTGGAAGAAAGTTCCGGTGCTGCTGCTGCTGCTGCTAATTACCATAACTCCAAATAGAATGCTTTAGAACAGCCAATAATAACAAGAAAGAACAAAGAATCAATTGGTGGGAGGTAACCGACAACTGAGAACCAATTGGCCAAAACGATATTTTGTATGTTTAACAAACGTAAGCATGATCCCTGAACAACATTTTTTGAAGTTAGACACGCTCAAAAACCCTCTTCCCCCCCTCCTCTCTCTCTCTCTCTCTCTTATCATCACTTATGGGCCACTTGTGAGGATTTCTCAATTCATCTTGAGTTTCTTCTATGTTGTTTGCCCACTCTGATTGATTAGATACCATGGGCCGAACTTCTTCTTCTTCTTTTTTTCCGATGGGGGATGTGGGGACTGGGGCATAATGTAAATAGCTGAAGTTGAGTAGGTAAAGTTGAATCGCACAAAACGTTGGGTCCTAAGTGCAAAGGACCATAAAAGCCTCAAACCCTAAAATCCGCAATTCTCAACCGAAGCTCTCGGTTCCAGTATATATACTATACATACTAAACCTCTGCATAAACCCTTCTTGTGCTGGTCAGCTTCTACCGCTCAGCCATAAAGGTACATCAAAGTCTCTTATACCTTGCTCTATTTCACATTCGTTGCTTCTACTCTCTTGCATTCGACAGAGAAATTAGAAACGCACAAATCGAAGGCTTTACGGTTGGTTTTATGCAAAGCTTGTAGAGCTCAAAAATTGTGCAATATCAATGTATTTTCCCATGTCGTCGTATCCTCTTTAACGGCCTATTCAGCACTTGTCAAGAGGATTCATCATGGGATTTACACTTCCTTTTTCCCTTTTTCTCTTTTTTTTCCCGTTAAAAATCTGATCTTGCTGTTTCTTTTTCTATTTTTGAAGTGATTTTCCCCTCAGATGATACTGTGAAATGTTTTGCTGATCTGTGAATTTAGTTCTATTTACCTTGTACTAATGTCGCTGATCCGTATGCGTCTCTGTTAAGTTCTATAATGTATGTTACACTAGTCTTATTAGTGTAGAAATGCTCTTGATTTGCCTTAATTTAATTAACCTTCCATAAAAATCTTTCTTTAATGGTGCGTCGTTGATTGTTCCAGAGATAATTATTAGTATTACAAAAACTCTGATAAAAAAAATGTTTTTTGGCACATAAAAAGAATGTTTCGAGGTCTTTGTACCCCCTGCTATACATGAAAAATTCATGTTCTCGTTGTGGTATTGTCTGTATAAATGGTTGTCTTCCTGCATGGGCTTTTGGAAAACACTCTTGAAGTGGATGAATTGGTAAAATGTTGATACATGAATATATGATTTGTTGTACTCTAGTTCTTGTTTGCAAATCTATGTGATTTTATACACACCTTGGATTGAGATTTGGATTGTCCTGCTGCCATTTGCGGGTAATGTTTGACGCTGTGTTACTGACCGGATATGATCTCTGCTCACAGAAAATGTCGAATCCTAAGGTGTTCTTTGACATACTGATTGGAAATGTGAAGGCTGGTCGGGTTGTGTTTAAATTGTTTGCAGATACTACTCCTAAAACTGCTGAAAACTTTCGCTCTCTTTGCACTGGAGAGAAAGGCATTGGAATTTCAGGGAAACCGCTGCATTACAAGGGCTCAACCTTTCACCGCATCATTCCAAACTTTATGTGTCAAGGTGGAGACTTCACTAGGGGAAATGGGACAGGAGGAGAATCTATCTATGGAATGAAATTTGCTGATGAAAATTTCCAAAAGAAGCACATCCAACCTGGCCTTCTTTCGATGGCAAATGCTGGACCAAATACTAATGGATCTCAATTCTTTATCACTACTGTTAGCACACCTTGGCTTGATAATAAGCATGTGGTGTTTGGGCAGGTTGTGGAGGGTTATAATGTGGTTGAGGCAATGGAGAAGGTGGGCTCAGCCAGTGGAAAGACTTCTTCAGCTGTTGTAATAGAAGATTGTGGTGAAATGAAAGAACAGTAAGGTAGGCAAAAGTAGATTTGCAGGAGAATGAAACTAAAATATTTTGCTCTGTTCTTGTTAGATGATTAGTGCTTTGTAGTTACCTGGGAGGAACAATTTCTTGTAAAGGATGGTTTTAAGTGGTATAGTTGGCCTAAAGTGTTCTTGCAGTAATAATAGAGGCTTGTTTGCTGAAAAATCAGCTCAGTTTGGTAGCCCTACAACCGGTATCATATTCATTTTAAGTTCTTTTCTTTGATTGAGTTCATTGAATAGCTAATCATATCTGCATGCTTCATTCATCTCTCAAATTGCACATAATGTGGCACCATCATACGTTATGAGCACTGGAGGGAGAGGGAAGTAGAAAATTGTTGTTGCAGCCAGAGGAAAGCAGCATAACACACGAGGAGGGAGATGGAAGATTATAGTGAAGATGGGAAGGTTCAAATGATTCTGAGCGTGCTCCTAATTTTCTCACATGAAACTTGCTTACGACCCAGAAATGACTAATAAGATGATTAGCTACTTGAGAGTTTTAACAAAACTTTCCACAGCATGAATTGATGTTTATTGCACACAAAGTATTTGATATGAACTGGAAATGAAAGACCGGTAGCCATCAGCTGTGTCAACAGCAGAAAGCTAGTAAAAGGGCAATGACCGTCTAGATCCAGTGAAAGTCGGTGCAGTCGAATGAGTAGTAGCTTTTTAAAATATTGCTTCAGAAACCGGGGGAAAAACTAGCTCAACAAATGAAAGTCTAGTGCAGAAAAGTAAGCATAATAATGTTTGCATAACCAGTTCCTAGGGTTATTAGATCTCTGATGTGTCATCATTCTCCTAATCTGCTCCCATCTTTTACTATGGGTGAATCTCTCAATTTTCTGTATCCTATTCCAGACTTTAAGATTAATGCTGAAGTGTGCATCAAAGAGTCCTCTTTTTTTTCAAAAAAAAAAAAAGACAGGACTGGAAGTAGCGGCTTCAGATGACAAAAGCAAGATGTGAACACCATGAAGCCAACCATTAACAATGGACAATGCTATAATAGTATGTATTCCCTACGAGCTAGAAGCAAAAACCAAATCTCTTCCTCGCTTTATTTCCTCCTTTGGCATGTGTTGCGTAATTCTTCTGCATATGGCAAGTTGGCAACTTAGTCATTTCAAGCTTGCACCTTCTTACACTGACTTCAGAATACTCTCTAAGTAGGAAAAAGTGTAATAAATGCTACCAGCTTGAAGCAGCGGCCTCCACCATCAGCGAGGCAACACAAATTATAAGCACATTTCTGACTTGAATAGGATGAATATGATATGTGCAGTGTGATCTTGTTCCTCCGGTAGACTAATGGAAACCTCCAGCTTGACAATCTTTTTATCTACTGTAACCCTGTGTCTTATTCCTAATCTTCATCACTTAGTTGGTCATCGTACTCTTCTCTTGGCGGTCTAACCACCAAAACTACAGTACCTAAACTCTCCTTTACACCGATTTCCTTCAATTCCAATCCTCTCTCAACCTTCAACCCCTCCCCAACACTGCCATTCCCTCCACCAACCACCAAGTAAAAATTATCATCAGTCACTACCCCTTTCCTCCCTCTATCAGCCACCACCAGAATTGCCTCCCCTCTGTTCCACTTCTTCGCTCTCCACGGCAACACCCTCGCGTTCTTAAATGCCACGGCCACTCCCCCTCTCTTTAAACCAGCCACCGGCTCCCACCCCGGTAACACCACCCACCTACTCCACCCTTTCTCTGCCTCCACTACTCCGAAATCCCCTACACCTGCGCACTCCCACGGCGCCTCCTCCACCTTAACTTCCCTCTCCTCTGCTCTACAAACTGGCAAAACCGCCACTACGCTAGACTCAGCAACCTCCCCAATCTGCATCCTCACAACAGGCACCACGACTCTATCAGCAGCTGCGCCTACTTTATCCTTGTCCTCCCCATCTTTCTTCCCCTCAAGCTCCTCCAACACCCTTTCTCTCCCATTTTCAGATTCCACGGCCTGCAGAGCCCTCTCCAACGCACTTCTCGACAATTCCGGGGACGACGCAGTCCTATGCTCCTGTGCCTGCCTAAAATACATGAATGCCAAACAATCCCCAGGAAGATCACCATCAAAACTCTCCCAACCCTTTTCGCCTTTCCTCCTCGGCTTATCCTTTATGGCCCTGGCCAGCTCTAGAGTCATTCTCGCATCAAATTTGTTCAAAACTAAATATTTGGCCGCCGAAGCACGCTGGGAAGCACTCAACAGCCTTATTTCATACAACAATTCAGCCCCACCAGTATCAAAAAACGATAAGATGTCAGGGTCTATTTCCGATTGAACTAAAGACTCACGTACTTGAGCTGCCACAACAAGCCTGTTCTGCTCCACCCCGGAGATTCCGGTGATCTCTTCGAGAGTTGGAGGGGTGAATCCTTCTTGAAATAAGGCAGAGATTAAAGGGGCGTACTCAAACCAGAGACCGAGGCGGTTGGAGAGGATCTCAAGGCGGCCGTTGGTGTCGAGATTGCGGTATTGAGGGGGAAGTGGGGAAGGAGGAGGTCTGAAGGGTTGGTAGAGCTGTTGCTGTTGTGCGGCGGAGGATTTTGGGGGAATAATGAGAGCAACGACAGAGTTAGGATGTTTGGAGCGAGGAAGGGGTGGGAGAAGCTTGTGAGGGTTGAGCAGACTGGGGAGAAATGGGGTGGATAGGGAGAGGGGTTTTGCAGTGTTTATCATGGTCAGAGAGAGCATTTGCCTCGGCTGGTTCTGCTGTGGAGGGAAGAGGTAAGGAGTTGGGAGAAGGGAGGAGAGGAAGAAGAAAGGCGAAACCTTATCTGATTTCGGATGACTTTTGAGAGGTTTTTTGAAGGTGACAACGTCCACTTCCCAAGAGATTTATTACTCACCCTTATTTATGAATTTCCCCTTTTCTTTTCCATTTTTTTTTCCTTCGTTTCCAATAATAGAATGTGCAGGTGCAAAAACAGATTTTTCCTGTAACCAGCTCCATCCAGTCGATTTAGAGTAGCTCGAGTTTTTTATATGTAAGATTTATAAATTTTAATGTAATTACGTCGTCAAGTTTTGCTAAATTGAAACTTTTCTTACACAAATTACTAATAATTTTAAATGTTTAATTTGATTAGTTGAAGAACAAGCTTAACTTGTGTTTGAATCATTTGATTAGTCTTTCAATCTTATCAACCATTCAAGAGATGCCATTCAATTAGCAAGAGTCTGCTGCGGTTGAATATAGAATTTAATTTTATATGTTAATGTCCGCATTTATAATGTCAATTATTGCTTGATATTTTTTTTTGGTCAAAAATTTTTCTTAAACACTTGACGACGAGATACTCAAATTGAACCCAATGAAGTTGGGGTTTTCCGGGAATTAAAAAGTAGTAGTAATATGCAAATTCTTGGCTAAACGAATGATGGATCAGGGAACCCATGGACCTGAGGGAGTATGTGTTGGGCTTCTTAAGTGTTTAAACTCGGTCCGCCTTAAGAGTTACAGGTGATTGCTAATCTGCTCTGCTTTTGTTTGGGCCTGGGTACTCAATGCACAAAGCCTGGTAGTGATAGTGGAATGAACGCGCAAATAAGTAAAAAGTGTGGCAGGCTTGAGGCCTTTCTCATTCTGCAACCCTTTTTTTTTTTTTTTTTTTTAAATTTTTCATCTTCATCCCCTTGTTTTGCTTCTTCTAATTGCATCTTCATCGATGTATACGTCTCCTTTCTCCCTCCACAACATATTACTCTTTTTTTTTTTTTTTTTTGCATTGCTCTCAATTTAGTCTAGACAGAGGTCGTGCTGTTGTAATGACGGATTTCTTTTTTCTTGGGATTCATAGACAAATTTTGGCGGATCTAAAATATGTATGGTTGTTTTTGGCTCTCATTTGTTATTTTTTTGTTGATTTACTTATAAATCATGAAATTTGAATCCCAAACTTCAATAGATTTAGGCATTTGTAACGATTTTGGCCCTCATCTCTTGGGTTTTTTTTTTTGGTTGATTCTGTTATAAAGCAAGAGACTTGAGATGAAATTTGAGCAACTTAAAATGAAATTTAAGGTACAGTCATGAACTTTGTTACTATTTTCTTCGACAACCGCACCGAATGTTTTTGGTGACAAAACAGAACATAATGCATGAAAAATTAATTAAAAAGAGGTTGATTCCTATACCACAACTAGGGGTGTAAACGAGATTCAACCTAATCGAGCCGAGTTTCAATATAATTTTACGAAACTCGAACTCAAACTCGAACTTGACGAGATCAAAATGTCAAACTTGAGTTCGAGCTTAAAAAAATAAAAAATTAATTATTTTATTTTTAAAAATAAATAAAATAATAATTTTTCTTAACAAATAATAAAATATTAGGGATATATATGTAATTTTACTATTAAAATAACACATATATATATATAATCAAACTCGAGCCGGCACGCGAGTTAACGAATTTAGTATTTTTTAAGTCGAGTTCGACTTGGTCAACTCGAGTTCGATATTGATCGATCTCGAGTGAAATTCAGACTTGAACCGCTCATGATCGGTTCACGAGTAGTTTGATTCGTTTGCAACCCTAACCACAATAATTACTGCTACCAAACATTAGTTTTCACGTGAAGAATTTCCTCGTAAATCATTACCATTGAAGAGCTATAGTCATTGCCATTCCTTGGGCAAACCAAACGGGTGGTATGTAATCACAAGAAGCATTAGCTATGTTTAGAGGTGGCAATTTGTCCCAAATTCCAATGGATTACCCATGCCTAAAAGGACTTTTGGCAGGATGGGTATTGTAATTTGATACTGGATTTAAAATGAGATGCATCCCAATTGTACCCATTATTTGATGGGAAATGTTGGGAAATACTTGGATACCCATTGGGCCCAAATATCTTTCCAAAAAATTTCATTTATCCAAAAATTCATCTTTGATTTGTTTTTGCAAAAATCTGATTTTTTTCACTTCCATTTTCTTTCGTTCTTCACTTTCCTACGAAAGAAAACCAATTAAGTGAAAATGATTTCATTTAAACAACTTAAAAAAAATAAAGATAACAATAAAAATAAAATGAGTTGGTAAAATTTTGGTGTCTACAAGAGTCAATGCTTTACTAACAATTGTTGGCACCCTTTATGTTGATTTTATGCTAATTGTTGAACTATCTACATAGATTTATATATGCAACCCTGTTATC